GAAAATAATTATAAAAAATAAAAAAAAGATACAAAAAAAGATAAAAGTAACCCTGCCGCCCCTGCCATCCGGTTGCCATTCTCCGTTGATGGGGGGGCAGCATTGCGGAACCTGGCCTTGGGGCAGCAGGGAGAGTAAATCTGGCCCTGCGTGCGGGCCCCTGAGGGTGCCCACTGTTTATGGCGTGGGCCAGTCTGGAACATGAGTTTAGACCATTCGTTATTAGTCCTTATGCGGAGTGACACAAGGTGTTATATCCAACAAGTATCGGGAGCTGCTACAGGCCCCCTGATACAGCGCCCCTTAGACCGCAGGCCCCCTTATACTGTCCCCCTTATACAGTCCCCCTTATACAGTCCCCCTTATACAGTCCCCCTTCATCAGGACTGAAGGAACACAAACCAGAAATGCAACGTATATAAAATGACTAAAAGTCAAATCATATTTATACGTTGTATTTCTTTCAGTCCTGATGAAGGGAGACTGTGGCAGCTCCTGAAACATGTTGAATATAACATCCAACCCGTTATAACAAGTATCCCCCTGAGACATGTGTGGGGATGCCACATAATACGGCTGGCTGTCATTTGACTACAAGCTCTCATAGGCGCAGAAAGAAGATTCCGGTCTACAGAGTACTGTTGCCACGGCTGCAAAGAAGATCATTTTCTTCTCAGTCCTCATATGTTTTATTACATGGGATGGAAAGATTGTGCGACACGTGACGGGGGCTCTGCATGCGTCTTAGTATGGAGATGTTTGTGTGTGTGTTCCTGAACTACCTGCCCGTCATACAGACTCACCTGGAGGAAGGTGTCCCCGTCGGACCGCCAGACCCTGAAGACGGCGTATCCGGGGATACAGATGACCGAGGACAGCGCCATCAGGAATCCCAGCGTGATGGCCCAGTCTGGGTAGATGTATTCGTTGTATGTGATTGGCCGATATTGAATGACGGTGAAGATTAAGATGAACTGCAGAGGAAACGAAGGAGAATAAAGTGAACTTCCTGATATATAAACGTCTAGAGATGGTGTAAACATCGGGGCATTTTGGCAAGTTCAAGTACTTCTCAGAATGCCCTGTTTTTTCCGCCCTCACCCTGCAGCGCCCTCAGGCGGCCGCTTGCCTTGCGGTAGCGCCGGGCCTGTATGAAGGTCAGAGCAACCAATCAGGATCCTTGTTGGAGCTCTTCCCTTTCTTTACTGAGAACAGTCAGAATGATTGCCGGGAACATCCCTGTGGGGTTATTGTGTTCCCCGCATGAAGGTCAGGAGACTTACAAAGATAATGGCCGGAGAGATGAACCGCCAGCAGACCTGGAAGAAGAGGGGAGGGGGGAACCCCAACATCATCTCTATGTCCTTGAAGTAGTTCCGGTGACCTGGAAGAGATGAGAGAGGATCAGACAACACGCCGGGGGTTCCATCACTACAATACTCAGCATTTCCGGCCCATCACGGGTCATACAATGAGCAGGAAACATGAACGGGAACTATTTATATTTGCTTGTTGGCGATAATGATCCATCGGGACCCGAACTGCCAATGGGAAGGCGGCGCCTGCAAGCTGAGCGACATAAGAATGGCGCCATTTTTTAAAATTAACACCGTAATAGCCGCTGGATGAGTTTGTGGATTGTCGGGTTTGTTGGGTCTTTTACATGAATGAATGTTCCCAGCAGCAAAAGTCTACAAGAAGGTATGATGGTGGAGTGCAGGGCCCAATGAGAGAGGCGGCTGCCTGGCAACAGGGGTAACTGTGGGGGGCCCCTGGAGTCATCTGAAGAATGTAAGGCTTAGGCCTCATTCACACACAACGCGCGCAAAATTGTATATTGCGTATATATATATACGAGCGTATGTGCGTATATATGCGTGCACTATCTGCATTCCCAGAATGCATCATTCCTAATAGAAATTTGAATGAACTGTACGCAAGTATGTGCGTATACGCGCGCATGTACGTGTAAACATGCGCGGAAAATACGCAGAAATACGCATCTCTGTTCCATTCTGTTTGTGCGCATTTTCACGCTACGCAAATATACGGCTCCATACGCGGCTGTGGGCATGGAGCCATTTATTTGCATATGGCGCAATACGCACGTACGCGCGGCAGTGTGAATGAGGCCTTCAAGAGCTGCAAGGCTGACCACAGTCCAGCGAGCCTTTATTGCCCCTGACGCGAGGGCAGGAGAAAAAAGTCAACACGTTTTGGGGGTCAGAAATCCCCCTTCATCAGGGCTTAGACGTTGGATATTAAATGTAGCCATACGGGGCAGTGGCGTCACAAGGGGGGTGCGGCCCGCACCCGGGTGACACCATTGGAGGGGTGACACCAAAATGACTCGCAGTCATTTTGGTGTCACCCCCCTCTGAAAAGTCGGGCGCTCGGTCATGGACCGAACGCCTGACAGTATCAGGAGAGTGGCATACCTCATCCCGCCAGGTGGCTGTCTCCTCCTCTCTCAGAATACTGCCGCGCATGCGCGGTGAAGTCTCGGCGGGGTGACACTCAGCCTCGGGACGCCCCTGATACGGGGTATTAAATGTAGCGATACGGGTGGCCGGTCATGTATCACTATATTTAATATCCTTTTATTTTGCATTTTATTGTCCAGTATTCACATCCAGAATATAAGTCCTGATGAAGGGGAATTCCGGACCCCCCTAAATGCGTTGACTTACTGGACTTTGATTAGACTTGTGGTGCTCTCGCCCTTCTCCTTCAGTAAAGTCTGACGGAGGTATAATAACAGAATTCCCGCACCGCACATCACCGGAAATACATCAAATCTCACAATACGCAGTCGGAGGCATTTATCATAACTGGAGCAGATTTGTACGGCAACCAATCAGCTTCTCTCTCTCATTTTCAAATCTCAACTGAGCAAACTGAAGAGAGATGCTGATTGGTTGCTCCAGATTCTGTCTGCTCCAGTATCGATAAATTACCCCGCCATTGCCTTCTCCGGTTATATACCTCGCGCATGCGGCAATAATGGACGAGCTGTGCAACTATCTAATGCCCCTACGGTCCTCCCTGGAGTGCTAGATTCGATGGAGCCTCCCCTCCCCCCTGTGTTTTCCCTGTATGTCCCTTTCCCCCCCAGTTGTGAGTCCCGTGTGTGTACTTAACTCCCGTTTGTTATTGTATGTTGTCGTATGTTGTCTGGTCCGTTGGGATGCAACGCGGCCGTATCCTCTGCACGCGTGCGCTCCATGAGAGGTGTGCAGTACACAAAATAAGGCGCATGCCTTTTGATATGTGCGACAGCCACAATACATTGCATGCGACTACGGAGTATTAGTTGAGAGAGCATATGCATAACTACCCACTGCACATGTACTAAAGAAATGGAATGTGACTGCATACGATGGGACTAGGTGTCTGTATTATGTTTCTCTGTACTCTTGTATTTTTGTACTTTGTATATTGAAAATTGAAATAAAATCTTTTTATTTAACCCCTTCGTGACTGACGACGTACAGTGTACGTCGCCAGCATCGGGGCTGTTTAAACAGACTCCCGGTGACTTTTGCCGCCGGGACTCTGTTTAAACTTGTAGAGCCGACTGTCGGCTTTACAACAGAAGCGATCCTGGCGACTTACCTGTCGCCAGATCGCTTCTGATGTTGTGTTTTGGGGCATTTAATTAAATTTGTCACTAAATTTTGGGGTTTAATAAGGAGTTGCGCTAATATTGCGCAACATAAAAATTTTCAACTACCACCATTTTATTCTATAGGGTCTCGGCATTCAAAAAATATATAATGTTGGGGGGTTTTACGTCATTTTCAGGCCTACAATGTGGAATATAACATGGGTGCAAAAAAAATTGACGAACTGAAGAAATGCGGAAAACCATAAAGTCTCCGGAAGACGCGCGGGATTTTACGCACGCGAGGTTCCCTACTCTGATATGAAAGTCGGAGTCACTCACCATAAATATACATTAAAGCCACACACATGATACAGGAAATGATGACCAGAGAAAAGCTGGCGGCGTAATTATCCATCAGGAGGAGCCAGTAGATTCCAGCCTATAGGAGGGAAGGACACAGAACAGAGCCAATCATCATAGAGATAATAAGAATATCTGAGAAGAGAAGATACAGCGGGGGGGGGGGAATTTATCAAGACTGGAGCAGACAAAATCTGGAGCAGTTGTCCACGGCGACCAATCAGCTTCTCTCTTCAGTCTGTTCAGTTAAGATTAGAAAATGAGAGGTAGAAGCTGATTGGTTGCCGTGCACAGCTGCTCCAGTTTTGATAAATTCCCCTCAGAATGTTCTGTGCTCAGCCATTGGTGTCCTCCGAGATGGACTCCCCGGCTATGGGATGGAATGATGGGGGTTCTCATTGTTATTCACAGAACCCAAAAGAAGACTTGCTGCTCCTAAGTCCTCCAAGGTCTGCCCGCATCTGAGAACGCATGTGCCAGCCTCGCTCCCCACAGTCCTCACGCTGACACGTTTCACCCACATAGGGATCTCTATGAGCAAGCCCGGTCTGTGTAAGACACGTCAGAGTGCGGAGGGTCTGGCGGGTCTCCTCTATTCTTTGTTCATTCTATTCATCCTCATCAGAGGTTCCCTCATTGTTATTACTTGTTACTCATCTATTCACCCCGAGAATGCTGCACCCAACTTCCTGCCAAAGACACTTCTCAACAGTCCATAAAGGCTCCCATGTCACACACAATGCAATTGATGGCCACCTGCACTCCACTATAAGGACTGATGGCCACCTGCACCCCACTATAAAGACTGATGGTCACCTGCACCCCACTATAAAGACTGATGGCCACCTGCACTCCACTATAAGGACTGATGGTCACCTGCACCCCACTATAAGGACTGATGGCTCCCTGCACCCCACTATAAGGACTGATGGCCACCTGCACTCCACTATAAGGACTGATGGCCACCTGCACCCCACTATAAGGACCGATGGCCACCTGCACCCCACTATAAGGACTGATGGCCACCTGCACCCCACTATAAGGACTGATGGCTCTCTGCACTCCACTATAAGGACTGATGGCTCCCTGCACTCCACTATAAGGACTGATGGCTCCCTGCACCCCACTATAAGGACTGATGGTCACCTGCACTCCCCATCTTGGACTGATAGCCACCTGCACCCCACTATCAGGACTGATGGCTCCCTGCACTCCACTATAAGGACTGATGGTCACCTGCACTCCCCATCCTGGACTGATAGCCACCTGGACCCCACTATCAGGACTGATGGCTCCCTGCACCCCATGTTCTGGACTGATGGCCACCTGCACCCCACTATAAGGGCTGATGGTCACCTGCACTCCCCATCCTGGACTGATAGCCACCTGCACCCCACTATCAGGACTGATGGCTCCCTGCACCCCACGTTCTGGACTGATGGCCACCTGTACCTCACTATCAGCACTGATGGCCACCTGCTCCCCACTACTAGGACTGGGGGCCAACTGCACCTCATGTTCTGGACTGATGGCCACCTGAACCCCACTATAAGGACTGGTGGCCACTTCTACTCCACTACCCGAACTCACGACCACCTGTCCCCGTCTCCGCAGACTGGCAGCCACCTACACCCCATTCCCTGCACTGAACTCCCCGGACTGCCAACTACCTTCACTCCACTACCAGGACTGACCGTCACTTTCACCTCACTCCCTACACTGATGGCCACCACCATCCAACTCAGCAGACCGACCGTCACCGTAAAACCCACTGCCAATTTTTTTCACCACTTTTCCTTTTTATTAGATTTTGAAATTTCGGGACAAATATTTATTTCAATGAAACATTTCTATTGTTTGTTTATTGTCTTTATTTATATGGATCTGTATAGTAGGCCAACAGAGGGGCATCTGAGGAGCATCTGAGGGGGGACAGAGGAGGGATTTGGCTCCAACAGACACTGCGTTGGATAACTCTGAGGCACGGACGCTATTAGTCTTAGCTGCGACCCAAAAGAAGCTTCAGCTGCACCAGAGGGCAATGTACGTCTCATGTCCTTGTGGTCCAGTCAGAGATAAAGAAACCTCCTCCCCCATTAATGATATCAGGGATGTGTACCCCCATAGCTGTCACCCCCGTGCTCCATGGAGGGGTACAAGGATTGAGTCAGTTACCTGTGTCGTCAGTGGGATTCCCAGCAGAAAACCAATCACTGCCACCCCGAGCGTCACAACCGTCTTCCAGCGAATAATCCAGTCGCTGCCGATCTCATCCACAACGGCCGTGACGAGAGTCTCCAGCAGACAGAACTGCAGCCAATGAGAAGCAGGAGGGGGTTATGGCGAGAGGTGACACTTCTCTCGGGGCGTCATTGCGACCCCCCCCCGAGGGTAACATTTCTCGTACGTTATAAATGGCCGAGGAGCATGCAGCTCCATATACTTGAGGGCGGAGCTTACCTGTGTGCCCAGCCCCAGGAGGATGAGCATGAAGAAGAACAATATGGCCCACAGAGGAGATATGGGCAGCAGGGTCAAAGCCTCGGGATAGGCCACAAACGCCAGGCCGGGACCATGATCGGCCACTTTGGACACATCCACTCCCAGGTGGTGGGCCATGAATCCCAGAATGGAGAAGATGACAAAGCCGGCGTAGACGCTGGTGGCGCAGTTGGTGATGCTGATGATGATGCTGTCCCTGAAGAAGAAGTAAATGAAGGTCAGGCCCCCGACACACAGACTTCCATTGGGGGGCCATATTACATGCAGGTGGGCAACAGCCTCTGTGTAACCCCCAAAAAGCCTCCTACAGGTACATCCCAGTGACCCCAGATGTTCTGGAATCCCTACGATTGTCCTTCTGACAGGCAAATAGATGGAGAGTGTGGGGCGGGGGGGAGGGGGCAGACATTGTAACCCCCTCAGAAAGTCTAGCCACAGACTCTATAAACATGGGCCACATATTGAAATGTCTTGTGCTGATCAGAAGGACAACCTCACCTATTGTAGATCAAAGTATTTCTCACCAGCACACCGACCTCCACATCGAGAGCAGACCTTTTGTTCCATCCACAATGCAGAAAACCAGGTTTTGGGGCTGCGTAGGACCCCTCTATAGTCTATAATATAAAGTTGGTTTCCTGCAGTGTTGCCCTTGATGATGCAATATGCATTGTGATATAAGGCCGGTGCACGGGTGAGAAATCATTAGACTTTCTTCTAACCTATTCCAACGTTCCTCCTCCCAAAATCGGTCGGTCATCAGGAGTCTGCTCACCACCATAGACATCTCCTGACTCAGCAGGAAAATGGAGCAGATGATAGTTTCCCCTTATGGAGCAGATGATAGTTTCCCCTTATGGAGCAGATGATAGTTTCCCCTTATGGAGCAGATGATAGTTTCCC